GGGTTTAGGGTTTAGGGTTAGTGAGGCGGAGGCTTCGAGTGACAAGTTCTGGCTCTAAGGCAGGGTGCTTTGTGAGGGTGCTGTAAGAGTTAGTGTAAGTGTAAGAGTTTCCTTCAAGGGCTAAGCTTGGTATGATTCTTAAGGGGTACTGCAAGATATACTGTAAGGGCTGGATTTACGGTTTCGGGGGTATAGGAGTTCATGTTTTGTTTTGTTTTGTTTTTTTCTGACCTCCCGTTACTTCGTTCGCAAGGCTTCGAAGCTGACCGCTTCTCGGGGAAGTGCAAGTCCTCAGGTTTAAACTCCTCTTTCGGAGTCAGGGGGTTTAGGGGTTAGGGTTTCAGAGTCGAACTTTAGAACTAAACCCTAAACTGTTTTAGGGTCGAACTCGGGACCATAGGGGCTCATTTAAAGGGCACTTGTCTTCTGTAGTGTCTTGCTGAGTCTTCTGCCTCCTTCTTCCTAAATCCCTAAACCCTAAATGCGGTGAAGTGGCGGGACGTTATGCTTTCTCGTCAACCTGTAGATGCAAGGCTCCCAGAAACGGACAAAACTCTAAACTCTAAACCCCCAAAGCCTGAAGCCCTCAACCCCGAACCTTATAAACGCCGAAACCCTGAACCTAAAAACCCTAAGCCCTAAAACCTTAAACCCGAAACTACCCGTGCCAAGACCCGCAGCCCTCGCCCAAAGGCTCCATGCACCTATATAGCATATACAGCTAGAGGCCCTAAAATACCAACACCGGAACCCCTTTAAAGCCTACTAAGTGTATACTATACTGGTACATGGAACCTCATGTACCCTAAACATCCGTAAACCCTTATGGCACCCTCAAAGGAAGCCCCTACAGGAACCCTATAGTATATACCATACTGAAATCTGAACCCTAACTTATTACTAAACCCGACACCCTAAACCCTAAATCCTAAATCCTAAACCCTAAAACCTAAACCCTAAACTCTACACCCTAAGTCCTAAATCCTAAACCCTAAACCCTAAACTCTACATCCTAAATCCTAAACCCTAAACCCTAAACTCTACACTCTAAATCCTAAAACCACATGGAGGCTGAGGGTCCCTGCCTGGGAATCAGCGTGGAAAGAAGGCGCCTGAAGGCGCCTTTGAAGTCCAGCACGAAGACGACCTCGCGGGGTTTTGGGTTTTGGGTTTTCGGATTTAGGGTTTAGGGTTTAGGATTTAGGGTTTAGGGTTTAGGATTTAGGGTGTAGGGTCTAGGGTTTGTTTTTAAGGGTTTAAGGTTCAGGGGTTTAGGGTTTTAGGGTTTAGGGGATTCCGGGTCTAGGGGTTATGGGTTTAGGGTTTCGGGCTTTGGGGGTTTTAGGGGCTTAAGGGTTCTTCAGGGTTTAGGGTTTAGGGTTTAGGGTTTAGCGGTTGAGGGTTCTGCCGAGACTGGCCTAGAACCCAACCCGAACCCCAGAATTGTAAGGCTCTATGGAGGCGGCTTTGAGGTCCTGGTGCTTCTGGCCTAGACCCTTAATCTGGTCTACGAACATGTTGCTGCGAAACCTTGAGGGAGCCCCTCCAAGAAACCATTAACGGATCCCTTCAAGGAAGCCTCAGAAGTACCCTAAAAGGAAGCCTCCAAGAACCCTTCAAGGATTCATGAAAGGAAGCCTCAAAGGAACCCTAAAAGGAAGCCCCAGGATGTAAAAGGAAGCAAAGAACCATAAAAGAAGCCTCAGAGGTACCCTAAAAAGAAGCCTTCAAGGAACCCTTGAAAGAAGCCTCAGAGAACCCTAAACCCCTACACCCCTAAACCCTAAACCATTA